GGAGGAGGAGGAGGAGGAGGAGGAGGAGGAGGAGGAGGAGGAGAGGAGGAGGGGAGGGAGGGAGGAAGGGAGGGAGGGAGGGAGGGAGGAGGGAGGGAAGGAAGGAAGGAAGGAAGGAAGGAGGGAGGAGGAGGGAGGGAGGGTTTGACATCCGTTTTCCCCGGTGAGGGGGGGGGGGGCGACGCGTCGCGCTCGAGGCGCGGCCTCGGGGCAGCACTGGCGGCGCGGCACGCCGCCCAGGAGCTCCCGACACCGGGAGGACGAGGGACGAGGGGCCTTGTCGGAGAGAGGCACCGTGCGGCACTGCCTGAGGATGCAGAGGGCCCCGGGGGGCCGTGCCGAAGCTCCTCGAGCGGGGCGCGGCCAGCGGAGGCGGCCAAGGAGGGGCCGAGGAGGCAAGGATGGGCCCAGGAGCTCCCGACACCGGGAGGACGAGGGGCCTTGACGGAGAGAGGCACGTGCGGCACAAGCACACAGCCGGCCCGTGTCACAGCCCGCGTCATACCGCGGAGCCCAGTCCACAAGACACCTGCCAGAAGAAGCCCAACCCTGGGACGCCAGGGCGTCCATCGATTTCTGGTGTGGGAGCGTCACGCCTCCCACGGCAGAAGCATCGAAACCCCAGAAACCCAGAGCACCCTGGAGGCAAGCAGGGTGTTTCTTGGCATGGGTCTCCACTGCACAGTCGGCCCGTAAATCAGAAGGGCGCACTGCCTAAGGATGCAGAGGGCCCCGGAGGGCCGTGCCGAAGCTCCTCGAGCGGGGCGCGGCCAGCGGAAGCGGCCAAGGAGGGGCCGAGGAGGCAAGGACGCAAGGGTACCCTTGGGAAGGTTGCCCGCCCTTGCTGTGCGGGTCGGCTGCAAGGACGAGGGGCCTCAGCAGACAGGGACGCGCTGCACGAGCAGAGCCTCTCGGAGGTCACCCCGCGGAAGTCTTGGGATCGGCGCTGGGGCCCCCTGCCTGGCGCGCAGAGCACGCCGTGGGCGGCGCCTGCGGCTCCGCCTCGGGGGGCCCAGCGCAGATCCACAAGCTCCGCACGGGCCCTCGGAAGCTGATGCTCACGCAGTTGTTCTGCCTCGCCGCCGGCAGTGCAAATCTAGCCCAGGGGCCACTTCCTGTCCTGCAGTCGGGCTGCTGAAGTCAGGAACGCTGGATTCAGGAACGGGGCCCCTGTCTGGCCCCGAAAGCGCCGGCGTGCCCGAGGAGAGCTGGAGGAACAGCCATGAAAGGACCTGAGGATAACATCGAGCCCATTCCGAACCCAAAGCGGTCCTCACTTCAGCGTCCTGACTGTAAGGCCCCATCCCTCTGGGTCCCGTCGTTGAGCAGCCGATGCCAGGCGCGCGCGGGCTGCCGCGGCCGCCGCTGGCGCCAGCGTCGCTGCCGCAGCCGTCGGCGTCGTAAGCCACCGCCGCCGCATGCGTCGCCGCCGCCGCGTCTGCCGCCGTCGCCGCGGCACCAGGGATGGAGGGGCAGAGCATTCGAGGGAACCAGTCTCCAGGGCGGAGGGGGACATCAAGCCAGCTCCGCACGGGCCCTCGGAAGCTGATGCTCACGCAGTTGTTCTGCCTCGCCGCCGGCAGTGCAAATCTAGCCCAGGGGCCACTTCCTGTCCTGCAGTCGGGCTGCTGAAGTCAGGAACGCTGGATTCAGGAACGGGGCCCCTGTCTGGCCCCGAAAGCGCCGGCGTGCCCGAGGAGAGCTGGAGGAACAGCCATGAAAGGACCTGAGGATAACATCGAGCCCATTCCGAACCCAAAGCGGTCCTCACTTCAGCGTCCTGACTGTAAGGCCCCATCCCTCTGGGTCCCGTCGTTGAGCAGCCGATGCCAGGCGCGCGCGGGCTGCCGCGGCCGCCGCTGGCGCCAGCGTCGCTGCCGCAGCCGTCGGCGTCGTAAGCCACCGCCGCCGCATGCGTCGCCGCCGCCGCGTCTGCCGCCGTCGCCGCGGCACCAGGGATGGAGGGGCAGAGCATTCGAGGGAACCAGTCTCCAGGGCGGAGGGGGACATCAAGCCAGGACTGAGGGAGCGATCATCCCAAATGCAAGCAGGAAGCATTGCGAAGGTCTGAACTGGCTCTCGGGAAATCGCTCGGTATACCCGCGTCTCCCGGAGAGTCGTCCCGGGCTGAGGGATGAAACTTCAAAAACGTCAGAAAACCTGACAGAGAAGCGGACGACCCAAATGGAAAGAGAAAACCTCCAGAATGGAGGCAGAAACCTGCAATCCAGAACATACGAAAGCCCCAGATGGTCCAAGATCTTCCGCCCCACCCCCAGATCATTGTCACTGGGCCTGAAACAAGCCTCCAAAGAACAACACGTCTGAAAATCTATTGTCGCGATGTTTTTGCGAAGCCTGTGAATGCAGTAAACACTGACGATGGTCGCGGGAAACTAGACGATTATGACGACGACACGGACGACGACCACGACGACGACACTTTTTCACGACGGCGAGGAGAACGACGCGGGCGGCGGCCAAAGGGCGACAATATTTCAAGTAAGACTCGTGATCGTCGTTGCCTCGGTACCTTGACCAGTGTGGCGAGCTTTGTCCCCGCCTCGAGCCACCAAGAGCGATTGGAGATGCGTTGAGTGCCTGCGAAGGGTCTTACTGGCCGCAAGCTAGGCTGGCTGGGGGCTCCGGCACGAGCACTCTGCAGCACTCATTCGCGAAGGGCCCCTGTGGCCGCCGCTCGCCTCCCTGGGGGAGATCCAGCCTGTTGGTCGAAGCAAGTACGTTAAGGATACCAAAACCATCTCGTCGCCCCCCCGCCCGCCCCGCCCCCCCAATCCGCCCCCCTCCGCCCGTGGCTTGCCTTATCGGCAAGACAACGGAAGATGATGGAGACATGCGACTAGCAGCCTCAACACTCACCGCGCCCGCCTCAACAAACGCCAGCCGCCAAGCGCCAGGAGCCTCTGAGAGTGCCGTCATGTCGCCACCGTTTGATTTTCAGTGAAACTCGGTGCCTGAATGTCCGCATCGCCCCTGTCGATGCCACTGCTGCCGATCCCGCCGCCGCCTTCTCGCTGCCTTTGCCCGACCCCGTCGCCCCCTTGCGCCCCCCCGAGAATTCCAGGGCCAACCGCTCCAGCGGTCCACGGGTTCCACGGGGCGCGGGGCCGATCTCCTCGATGCCTCCCTGGCTCCCCGGAACATCACGCCCTCTAAATCGGCCTCTCCCTCGCGCTTCAAAGCGAAGATCAGCTTGAACGCGTCGGGTTTGTCGTCCTTCTTGTTGGCTAGTCGGCAGTCGCAATGCTCCGCGCTGGCCGCCGAGCACAGCGCCATGGCCCCCCATCGCGCACCTGTCCCAGGTCTCGACCGCGGCTTCGTCGATCTCCTCGAGCTGCCCCCCGGCGACGCCCCTCAAGGGCGCGAGCAAGAAGCGCGCGAAAGGGGGGCGCTCTGGGAGGCCGGGATTCGGGACAGAGACGCAAACCAGGGCCGGCGCACGAGCGACGCACGGGCGACGCACTGAACGAAACTTAGTCGGGGGGGGTCGCACTACTGGGCCTTAGCCCGGGACAGAGCATCTGTCTGCGCGGGGTCGCGATTCACCACTCTGGCCTTCTCGCGGTAGACCGGTCCTTCCGCGCGGCGCCTCGTTGCGATGAACCCGGTGGCCAGCGGCGAGAACGCGCGCCAAATCATCCCCGCGCTTGCCAAGCGCGGCCGAGCCAGCGCGCGCATTAACCGAACCGCCGCAATCCTGTCGCCATCGTCGAACGACTCCCCATAGTCTAGTGCCTCTTTGCAGCTCGACCTCCCTGACCTTCGGCCCCCCCAGCTTTGCGGCGCAATCCCCGGGCCGGCGCCCGGGGTTCCACGGCGCTGAAGTTCGCGGATAGCTGGAGCGTGGATTTGGAGATGGAGCCGCAAGCCCTCGCAAGATGAGCCGATGCAGCCACGTAAGTGGCACTCGCGACGCCCCGGGAGATGGCGGCCCCCGCAGCATTGATTGTTGGGTCTGCGTGCCCTCCCTCTGCGCGCGCGGTCCACGACGAGTCGTTGCGCGCGTGCGATGTCGGCGTGTTCGGTCAAGAGCGCGGACGCGCATGGGTCGCGAAGAGGGTCGCCCACGGCTCTCGCAATCTGCGCGCAAAAACTCATGGCGACGTTCGAGCACGCGCGCGCGCCCGTCTCCGCCCTCGCTCCGCAAGCCCATCTAGGAGAGCGGACGCACAGGGCCCAGCTCGGCCCGGGGGCCATGGCCTCTCAAACGCCGCGCCCCCGGCCCTGTTAATCAGGCCCCCCGAACTCTTTCCCCAGATCGCTGTCCCGGGCAAGGGGCCGAAAACTACGTCGTAGAACCCCCCCTTCGTCCTCCATCATCGCGCATCCCATTGGCCCCCATCGCGCGAATCCCTGTTCATTGTCTGAGACGGCGGGCTTGCCCTTCCACCGAGGTCGCCACCTTCGATGGTCGGGGCCCCCCAGACACATACTTACCGAAGATCGCCGCGAGGACTTGCGAGCGCTTCCAAGGCCTGGGGGCAAACTTCTGCGCAATACATAACATGCGAGCGTGCGATTCTCACCTGCTAGTTGAAATTCTCCAGGAACGCGAAACATCACCTGCGTTTAAACTTATCTGGCGCCCAAGCTCCTTCGCCCATAGAAAGCGACAAGCGGCCCCGCGCGCGGCTATTGCACCATCGAGTGCAACGGCATGGACAAATTCACGGTGCCGGAGCTCGCTCAAAACACGCGCTTCCACTCCATGGAGCACGGTTCTTTGCGCGCCGCGCAAAATAGCAGGCCGCATCTGACCGTCCAAGGCCAGTCAGCGAGCGACCCAAACTTGCCTGGGGCCTTCCATGCATTCACGGTGGGTCGCCAAACCCTTTTTTTCTCACTCAGGCGCAGAGCTCTGGTTCGAGCAAACCTGCGAACCAAGATAGCGGGCAGAATCTGCGCCAAGCGCTGCGGGAGCGGTGGTGCCGCTCCTGGGACACGGTGCCGCCTGCAAACGGCTGGCCCCCGCAAGCGCGGGCACGATCTTCTGCTCGCGCCGATTCTGTCCGCGCCCAATCGAAGCCAGAGCATCGTCCATAACTTCGTTTGCACGATGTGAACTCGCAGCGAAGTCCGAAAGCCCACCCCCCTGTCTGGACAACAGAAGCTCAAGTAAACCGTCGGCGCGCTGGCAGACTTACGCATCGACATTCCGCCCCTGGATGGAGTCCTCGGCGTGCATCCCTCGATCGTTGCACTGCCCGTTCTGCTGTTCTGAAAAAAACCTTGCTGCCGCTAAGTCACGCAGGGTTGGAAAGCTGGTAGTAATTGTCGGACCACCACTGGGGCCCCCAGCCCCAGCCGGCTCGCAAAAAGTTCGGGCCCCCAGGGCAGGGGGGGGGCGGGCCGGCGTCGCCGCTTGAAAATGCCGGCAACTCGGTTCACATCAATCCTCTCTCATGAACCGACATCCTGAACAACATCGCGCAGAGCTCACTTTCCGCGCCCCCGCAAACAATCGTCAACGCATGCATGCGTGCAGAGACAAACCTGCCACGCACGTTCGCGCGCCGCGTTCTGATCTGCGCAACCGCGATCGCGCCCTCTCCACATCTACACGGCCAAAAACCGTGAACCGGACTGGGGCACTCGGAGTTTCGGTGCTGCACCACCCTTTTCCGACGGGCGACAATAAATGCATAGTGCGTATGCCACCAGGAGGGTCGACAAAATCACATAGACCTGATGTGTTAGGTCAACTGAGCCCCATGCTCGCGTGAATTTAGGTCGCGGGCTGTCTTATTCTGACCAGCCCATCCTCCAGCGCCGCCTTGTGAAATTGAGCCTGCACTGGTCGAACCCCGCTTCCGAGCCCGAGCCGATGCATATTCGACTGTGCGTCAGCAGCAAGTGGCAGCGCAATCAACACCAATGGTGCTGACAAGGCTTGGCGCGACGTTCTCCTGGGCGCTTTCCGCGCCAAATGTGCAAGCCTCCAAATGCGTCGTTCGGCGTCGTATTTGTGAGTCTCATCCACGCCCGAAATCAATTCGAATCAACTGCTTGCCGTGTTTCGATGAACCACTCACAGTCTCTCGCGCCGCCATCTCCCTGGTGTCCAGGTTCCAGGTGTACCCCATGTCTCTAACCACTGCTGCGGATGTGCTGAAACCGCTGTGCTTAGCTGCCCGGAATGGTCGTCGCTTGGGTCCGCATGCGCCACTTGATACCCCTTGTGCCATCTTTCGTTGCTCCCATGCCTCGCAGAGCTGCTCCGTCACATGTAATTGAAATAACTGCGACTCAATCGGTCGTTATTGTTTCACGTGCGACGGTAATTGCTTCGCTTCTCTAATACTGTTCGCCTCCTCCTCCTCACACTCCGCGCAAACCTCCTGCATTTGCCGCAATGCCGGTCGATGTCGAATGCTTCGTGGCGATGTGCGTGGCATGTTTCATATAGCTAATCGCGTGTGGGGTTCTTTGCGAAGGTCTCCTGTCCGACGTCACGTGCTGTCATCTCCAATAACTCAAACAGTCGGTCTGGTGCGCGTGGGCCAACACATTTCTCGGAGACAACGCCAGAACATGTGTATATATACATACATATATATATATATACATATACACACATGAATGTAATGTACATGGGTGAATGCGTTCCTAGACCCATGAAGCAATGTACTCCAAGTCGGATCGCCGTCCACAGTAGGCGTCCACAGTATTTTGATTGCGCTATGTACTTGGTGTCGGGTTTGCTTCCTTGGGGGCGTTGGGAATCTCGATGTTCAGGTGGATGGGAAGGTGATATCTCTCCGCACTGTAATTGATGTGCTGAATATGCCGTTTCGTCGTGGCCACTATGACCGTGCTCCTGATAGCCGTTCTTAAAGCACTGAGGCAGCTTATGGACTCGATCAATAAATTGCAAACTGCCTCCGTACCAGATGTCCGTGTTGTTATTTTGTTATGTTGTGTTCGTCGCGTGCAAGTTATGCTCTAAACTATCTGCGGAACGACTGCCTGCAAGCTGTTCCCTTCTTGATATATGTACACGTCGGTCACATCTGAATCAATCCGTTCCAGTCGTCAGGCTGTGCCCATCCTCTGTCCAGGTCCATCGTTAATCGCAGTTCCAATAGTTGGGATGTTCCTGGCTGGTGCGTCGCCCAATACATCCGAAATCCATGTAACAAGAGCTGCAACAATTCGCTCGTCAGTGTGGGCCATCTTGGCCCTCGTGTGTGTGTGGGGGGGGATTTCAACTACCAATGATCGTGTCGTCATGAAATGCGTTGGCACTCCTCACCGCCAAGCCAACCCCCTTCGAGCCAGAGATGCGGGCGGGGCCGAGTGTGTCGACTATGTATTGTTCTGAACTTGCTACAACACGTAACGAGTATACCAGTTGCTTCGTTTGTAGATGGTCAACGTCAAACTTCCGTTTCGACTTGAAAACGTGGTGCGTGTTCCTGCTCTCTGCTGCTGTATTCGAAGGTCCGTCTTCCGCTGCGTACCCGCCATTATGTTAACTTCGCTAGTCCTTGAAACACACTCAATGTCTTCAATCCTATCTTGCCAGGAGGCCAGGTCCACGGCTGTGTTACCTCATCCGGCTGTGCACGTTTAGAAAAAGTGCGACGCCGCCACCTCACTCGGTCTGAACACGCGCGGCTTCGACGAAGACGACGATGACGACCAGCGGCAACGAGAACATCTGGAGGTTCTGGAAGTCTCCCGAAAACTCCAAAAATCAAAACCGATTCTCAAATTCGATCATCAAGCTCGACCCGCGATCAACGATCCGCGACCTCCAGAATCGGTCCCTAGACACATTCTGGAGGCAATTCCTTGGTCACTTGGTCGTCGCACATCGATTTCTGCCGGCCCGCCAGCCCGAAACAGGCTTCTAGAGGCCGAACATGTTGAACATTTGTTTCGAGCCTCGATCCTCCGTCCTCAAGCCTCAATCCCTAACTTACGAACCACAACCGACGACCCGCAACAACGACAAAGGCGGCGACGGCGACGACAACAACCACAATATCGCCAAAAACGAGGACTACGCCGACCAGGACAGCGTCAGGGGCGACGACGATCGACGACGACGAGGACGCCGCTCGACGACGACCTCCACGATCGACGATCGACAGCGACGACGAGCAGCGAGCGACGCGCCTCCTGGAGGGCCCGCAGCTGCAGGCGCAGCTCCTGCGACTCCCCGGCGCGGGCTTGGTGCAGGCGAGCGCTCGCCTGCCGCCGCCGCCGGGCGCCAGGACGGGGGGGGCAGAGCTTTGTGGAGGCCTGGAGAGGGCCACTGGGACGGGGGGGGGGTCAGGTTTTTCCCTCTTCTCCTCCCTCTCCCTCCCCCCCTCCTCCTCCTCCTCCTCCTCCTCCTCCTCCTCCTCCTCCTCCTCCTCCTCCTCCTCCTATTCTTCCTCTCCTCCTCCTCCTCCTCCTCCTCCTCCACCCAGGGGATGTGGCCCCAAGTCTTGTGGGTGGTGATGTTTTGGGCCACCTGGCAAAGCCGAGCAGACTTCCACTCGTCACTGCGATCGGGAGCATCATCTGCCCCCGGTGGAGGCGCACCGCCGGCAGCGGTGCTGGCTGCGAGGGGGCAGTTGGGCGTTGCTGTTTTTTTTTGAGGGGGGGCGATAAGTCGGGGGGGCGAAGAAACGAGCACCTTTCGTGCCCGGTTGGGGCCAGAGGGGCCCCTTAAGGGCACACCTGTCTTCGCCCCCGCAGGGATCGCCCCCCCCCCCCCCCTTACGCAGCGCCCGAGGCAGAGCGGAGCGGAGCGGCGCCTGTGCTGGGCAGAGGCCATGCGCAGGATCGGCTTGGGACGCTGGGGTGCCCTGAATCTGGGCTCCGCTCTCGGAATCTGGGACCGTCAGAAACGGAGCCGCGACAAACGTAGGCGGCGCACCCAGGGGGAAACGAGAAGGGGGGGGGCCTTCTCAGAAGGCTCGCCGAGTCCCCCGGCCTTCCGAGAAGTGTGCTAAGCCTTCCCACGAAGGCACAGGGAACCTCTCGGAAGGCGCGAGGGCTCCTGAGAAGTCCCGCCGCCTTCTGAGAAGGCCCTTTCCTTCTCACTTCCGCCCTCGCTCGCCGCCGAGGACAAAAACGCTACCCGCGGGCCGCGGCTTTCAAAACTCACCTCGGCGGGCGTCGACGGGTTTCCGCCGCCCGTCGCTGGCGCCTGTCGCCTGTCGCCTGTCGCCGTCGCCGCTGCCGCCGTCGCTCCCAGCTCCAGGTCCGCCGTGCTGTGGGCGATTTCGTAGGTGGGGCGGACATCACCGCACAGATTTGACAGGCGCGCTCCACGACTCGCAAAATCTCGCGGATGGCCTGAATCCGCCGCGGAGGATTTACGGTCCACTACATAAAGGCAAGCACGTGTTTTTGTTTCTAACGTTTGCTAGTAGGCAGTGTTCGAACAGTGGAACGCGCTCGGTGATACTCTTCAAACTCCTTTGGTGCCGATTTCCGCCCTGATTTGCCGTCGCAGCCTCTGGCATACCTCTGCTGGGATGTCCGCCCTACTTTTCCGAGGCTGACTTGTCCGCCCCACTGTTCCGACCCCATTGTTTGACATGTTCCGTCTAGTGTGGGGTGCATTTCCGACGCAAGTTTTAAGACGGGAAACCTTCCAAAGTACGGCGGATCCGGGATCAGGTTGCGTGATTCGTTTGTCTCTGGCTTGAAGTCAGAGGCGGTGGGTGCACAACACTGCCGGGTAAGCCATGTGATCTGACCGTTCCCTGGCAGCTTCTCCCCCCTGGTAGGGCGAAGGAGAAAAGACACCAGCACCACCGCGGTCAAGGTGCAGGGGGGGCCCTCCTGGTTGTGCGTCCAAGTTTTTGCGCCGCACCTCCTCTCACCAGGGGTGGCCCAGCTGGAAGTGGTGGCGGCCTAGCTTGTCCTTCCTCCTGTGAAGGGAAGAGGCGAGGGGGACGCTTTGGACGTCGCGCGAAGCACACCGTGCTGACACAAACGAACTTGGATGACAAGCGAGACCCGCGCCCCGCCTGTCGCAACGCCGACAGGAGCTGCCGAACCCAGGCCGTTTACGGTCAAAATGTTTTGCGGAGCATGTTGCGGCGACGGCCCCTGCTGCACGCTACGGCTTGCAAGCTGATGGCGTGCCGCTCAGCTTCGCGGGAAGGGAGGCTGGGAAAACTCTGAACTTTGATGCTCGGGGGCAAGGACGTGCTTAGCGTGTCGCGCCGAAGCGTGGTGGGCCAGAATCGGCGGCGCGACACTCTAAACAAACGTTCCTGGCCGTATCTCCCCTCCTGCAGCACGGAGACTCCCCTCCCACGTCGTGTTTCTTTCATGGCCAATCGGCTGCACGCAGAAGCGCAAGAGTGGCCCTGGGCAAGGGTGACCCTTGGCGCGCACAAGGGGGTAGGGGGAGGGGGAAGTCTTCTCAGAAGGAGGCTGCTTCTTCGAAGGCGCGGGCCCTACATCTACAGATCAGGCCCGCGCCTTCTCAGAAGCAGGGGGTGCTTCTAAGAAGCCTCCCCCCCTGCCCCATACCCCCCTCTGCGCGTGGCCAGAGGGTCCGACGACGACGACGACGACGACGACGAGGAGAAGGATCACACGATGACGACGATGACCTGACAGCGCGCTGAGGCGCAAGTGGAGCGGCCTTTGGTGCGCAGCTCGCCGACCGTTGCGTGCGGTGCGGCGGCGGCGGTCGGCGCGCCCGAGACTGGCCCCGCACGACGACGAGGAGAACAAGCACGACGACAGGAGTACGACGACGACGACGACGACGACGGCGACGACAACGACGGCGACGACGGCGACGACGACGACGGCGACCTCCCAGCACGCCGGTGCGAGGCGGGGATTTATCCATACCCACCGCCTGGGAACCGACGTCCTGGTGCCCCAGCGGGCGGCGGATATATATATATATATATATATACACACACAAGACTGCACTGGCGCTTCGCGCCATGCACCTTGGTCCCTCACCTCTAACTTGCAGGCAACATGAGACAGAGAGAGAGGTTGATCAGTCGAAACAACGAGCGCTCTTAGTAAAAGTGTTCGCCATCACCGTCATCATCTTGTTGTTCCTTCTCCTTTCCTCAGGCGTCCTCTTCTTCTTCCTCGGAGAAAAGAAGGATGGAGGAAAAGAAATATTGGAAGGCTTCTGGGGGTGCCATTGAAGCTCAGTGTTGGGAGCCCTGGTGTTATGTAGCGTTGTGGGGCCTCTTGGGGGTCTTCTTGGGGCCCTTTTGGATCCCTTTTAGGGCCCTGTTGGGGTTCTCTTGGGTCGTCTCTGGGCCCTTTTGGGCATTTTTGGGCCGTCTTGGAGCGTCTTTGAGGCCTTTGGCCGTCGTGGGGCTCCCTGGCGGCGTCTTGGGGCCCTATTGGGTGCCTCTTTGGGCGCTCTGGGGGCTCTCTTGGGCCCGTCTTGGAGCCCTCTTTCTTGGGACTCGCTTTGATTGTTTTCGGGCTCTTTGGGGGGCCTTTTCGGCTATCTTGGGGCGATCTTTGGAGCCTCTTGGGTCGGTTCGGGCCGATGTTGGCCCGAAAAAGGGAGAACCAGGAAAACCTTTGAAAACCATACAAAAATCAATGACATTTCCCTCTTGGGGCCCTCTTGGGAAGCCTCTTGGAGGCCTCTTGGTACGTCTCGGGGCCCCCTTGGACGGTCTTGGGCGGTCTTAGGGGTCTCTTGGAGCGCTCTTGGGCTGTCTTGGAGCGCTCGCGGACCCCTCTTGGGAGTATCTCGGGCCGTCTGGGGCGCCTCTGGGACCGCCCGAAAATCTCGGGGAAGCCCGAAACTCGTTTGGGGGGGGGGGGGGGGGGGGCTCCGTCCGGGGTCTGTCCGGGGTCCCCAGCCCCATAACAGTATGTAAATAAGCATATACACACATATTCTGGCCCTCGGAGGCCCGAATATATCCATTTACAACGCCTGTCGAGGTCCCCGAAAATTAATCCTCCAGGCGGTAGTCATGTATGATCCAGGGTCGAGGGTTCACGGGCCACCCCCCCCTAGATAGTATGGTCCCAGGATTCCTCGGGCCCCCCAGAGACGACGACGACGACGACGACGGCGGCGACGACGACGACGGCGACGACGACCACGACGGCGACGACGACGACGACGACCACGACGACGACGACGACGACGACGGCTGCGGCGGCGACGACGCCGGCGGCGGCGGCGACGACGACGATGACGACGATGACGACGACGACGACGACGACGACGATGACGACGACGACGACGACGATGACGACGACGACGACGACGAGGACGACGAGGACGACGACGACGACGACGACGACGACGACGACGACGACCTCTGAACCACCACAGCACCACATCACATCCACAGGGGGGGGGAGGGGGGCACCGCAGCGCAGAACCACGCCACGCCCACTTCTGAACCACCACAGCACCACACCACATCCACAGGGGGGGGGGGGCACCGCAGCGCAGCACCACGCCACGCCCACAGGGGGGGCGGGGGGGACCATCGCGCGGGGGGGGGGGGCCCAATGGCATCAGCATTGGGGGGGGGGCCCAAGCCCTGGACCATGTGTAAATTCCCGCCTCGGAGCTGGGGCGCCGGCGAGCGCCTTGTCCAATCCATCGTTCTGTGATCCGAAATCAGCGAATCTGTGAACGCGCTTCGCGCGCGCGTCGCCGACGCTCTTCCAGCAGTTGCGCGCGATGCTTCTCCTTCATTTTCAGCAAGTGGAGCGGCCGTTGGTGCCGGAACGGGTGGAGGGGGGCTGGTTGAGGAGGAGGAGGAGAAAGAGCAGGAGGAGGAGGAGGAGGAGAAGGAGGAGGAGGAGGAGCAGGAGGAGGAGGAGGAGAAGCAGGAGGAGGAGGAGGAGGAGGAGGAGGAGAAGCAGGAGGAGGAGGAGGAGGGGGAGGAGCAGGAGGAGGAAGAGCAGGAGAAGGAGGAGGAGGAGGAGGAGGGAGGAGTGAGTGTGAGTGAGTGAGTGAGGACACCGCTACGCGGACGCACAGGTGCGGTCCGCGCACGGCCGCCCGCGGACCGCGGGCGCCGCGGCGCGCCATAGCGCGGCGCAGGACGGAGGTGCCCCCCTGAGAGAAGAGGGACCTCCGTCCTAATGACCTGGACGAGCAGCGCGGCGTCCAGCGCCAGGAGCACTGCGTCGACGTGGCGAGCCGCCCGCCGCCCAGCGCACGAGCGCGCTGAAAGCGGCCGCCTGGGCGCCGCGCGGCGGCAGCGCGCTCGGCGCGGTGGGCACCG